AACCACAAAAAAGTACTTGAAAGTAGAATGTACATTTTATAGTCCTTCATTCTATAGTCATTCTTCCAATATATATATAAAGTAATGTAATATATGAAAAGGTTAATCCCAGATTTAAAATAGTTTCTGTATGTTTTTAAATCAATCTCTCCTGCTCTACTTTGTATAAATCACTCTCTGAAGAGCAGCAACAGATAAAGCTGGCCATCCATCCATCTATTTCTGCCTGCCTATGGTAAACATAAAGGCAGATTGAGAATTAAAATGATATCTTAATTTAAAACTGCCCATAATTGGTAACATCTGTCTTTTTAGATGTCTTTTCATCAAGAATTTTTCTATTTAAGTTGACACTTGTCTAGTTTAATGCCACATCAACATTTATATTGTGGTGATGTAGATACAGCCCCAGTGGCTAAACACTTTTGTTTTAAGCCTGATTCTTACTGTTTTAGAAATGACTCGGTCAGAAATATCCATATATGCCAAAGAAATGTTCAGTTACCACGTATAACTTCATATAAGGCAAGAGATTTATGTATGAAATTTCAATCAGGAGCTACAGAGTCAACATGGGTCACTGTATTGGGTCATTTACGAGGTGGTATCTGGGGGGAAAATGAAGCGATGAATCTAGAAAGTAATGATTACAGGGAGGATGATTATTTTTGTGACAGTTTCTCATAAAAGCATTCATCCTTGTTCTTTCCTTTGAAAGATTGACTTACACATTAATCAGGTTTTCCTCAGGAAGGGTGTGTCTTAGACTACAGGGGGGGTTTTTCGAAAAAAGTAACCTTTTTCGAAAAAAATTTCACCTGCCTCTAGACTGCAGCCGCATTCTTTCGAAATTAAATCGAAAGAATGCGGCAGTTGTTTTCGATCGCGTTAAACCTCATTTTACGAGGAATAAAGCCTTTTTTCAAACGTACTCTTTCAAAAAAAGGCGCTATTGAATGCAAACTGTGCTTTTTTGAAAGAGCATCTAGACTCTCTTTTGAAAAAGCAGCTCACTTTTTTGAAAAATCTGCTTGTAGTCTAGACGCTCTCTTTTGAAAGAGGCTTTTTCAAAAGATTATTTCAAAAAAGCCTCTTTCGAAAGAGGCTTGTAGTCTAGATGTAGCCAAAATGGGCTTTCTATGGCTACATGTAAGTGTGTGCATGCATAGGGAGGCAGGGAAAGGGGAGGATTAGTACTTAGAATGTTTACACATTTTTATCAGTTTTAGAAATGTAAGTTAATTAATAATAATCTAAAAGGCTTTTATTTCATATTTAGCTGCCACATATGCCTCATATAAGTGAGTGTTTGATGAAAAGAAGCTTAAAACCGACTGACCTGAGAGATATGACTATTGGGCAGCTACAAGTGATAGTTAATGATCTCCACTCACAAATAGAAAGTAAGTGATTTTTTGGTTTAATTCTTTAGTATTTCCTTTTTAATTAGCTACAGAACAATATTTTTTGCATGGAAAAAGGTGCAACATGTACGTTACTACAGGAAGAAAGTAAGTCTTGTTTGTGTTCATTTTGATGTATTAACTTAAGAAATCATATTTGAATGGGCCTTAAACTCAAGTTGCCAGACGTACTGTCTCTGTGTATGTAACATGAAAATGCCTCATTGATCAAATTGCAAAATTTCACAGACTATCCTAGGCAGTTGGCATATTTCTACTGATTTGGGGGAAACTAAACAAGAAAAAATGGTTCTCTTTCTCTCCAGTCTTCGGAGGAAGTAGATTTTTCCCAAAAAGGTGCTACAGGACTACTCATTGTTTTTTTAAAGTTACAGAATATCACAGCTACCCCTCTCAGATGAGGAAAAATAGTAGAGCTGAGACATATCGATTGATCTCCCAAGTAGGGATGTAAGCGGGTAGTCAAGTCAGTACTCAATTACTTGCTTCTCCCCTCCCCTTCCTACCTTCCAAGGCAGCTCTTACTACATTTAAATAGCAGAGGTGCAGTGGTCCAGAACGCAGCGCGAGCTGGTGCTGCTCAGTCCCAGCTTGTAATGAGTCTGGGACCTACCCTCTCTGCAGCTTAAAAGTAGTAGGAATTGGGCTATTACATTTAAACTGCAGAGCCACAGCCAGGGTACATCCTGGACCCCATCTCACCTTATCAACTCAGACCTCTTAAGGAACAAACCTGATGCCTGAGCAGTTGGAGCTGGCTCGGTCCTGGGACTCTCCCTCCCTCTCCCTTCACCCTCCCCCCTCCCCGGAAGGCAGCAGGAGAAGAAAGTTGCCTGCGCATCACAGACCTGGAATTTCAGGAAAAGCGCCGGCTATTTGGAGGCCAGGAGAGCAGCTCGTGCTTCCTGAGACCGGCTGCAGGATCCCCAGGTACTGGCTCTAGCTGACCCTGTCCCAACCCTTGGCCAGACCTCCTCCCCCTCTCCCCCCCCGCACAAGCACCTTCCCCCAGTACCCACCAGCACCCTGTTCCCTGACCCAGCACCCACTGGCACCCTGTCACCTGACCCAGCACCCTGCCCAAGTACCCTGCACCAGCACCCACTGACACTCTGTCCCCTTCCCCAGCACCCACCAACACCCTGCACCAGTACCCACTGGCACAGTTGGGGCCACATTAGTGAGGCTTGGGGGGTTTTGGAGGGGTTGTGGTTTTGCATCTCACTTGTGTGGCCCTGACTGAATTTTCTGTCAGTCAGTGACCCTTGACTCAAAACAGGTTCCCCACCCCCTCATAAATAAAGACAATGCTGAAACCTTTTGTGTTTGACATATTTTATTTAAAAAAGAAGCCTGGCCTGCAAGCCCCCAGTTGGGGCCAAGCCCCCATCTGGCCACAGCATCATAACACTCCTGTACCCCCCCCCCCCCCCCCCCCCCCCCATCCCATTGCTTTGTTTTCTTGAGAAAAACTATGGAGAAACAAAGAGAAGCCACAGGAGTGGTCATGCAGCCCTCACCCACCAACAATGGTGCCTCATTTCCAGCACTTGGAGTAGACAGTGGCGAGGAAAATCGCTTTGCAGGAGTGGAACTGAGGATGCATATGGATATACTATAGGCGGGAGTAGGAGATGCCAAAACAGAGACAAAGCACAGGAAGGGCTCTCACAGAGTCACATACCATAGCCACTCACTGATTTCTGTAAGTACTAAGCAGCTTGTCTACTCCAGCTCACTGATTATACATCTGGACACAGCCTCCTGGGTCATAGTACCGATTAACTTCCGTGTGTGGGGGAAGGGGGGAAGGGGGATGTACTGGGTGCTCCATTTCCTGTATGAGCACCCAGGCTAAGGCAGTGAAAAGAGGACCAGGGAAATGTGGGGTGGAGGGGGCTAGACTACAAGAGTTTTTCCAGCAAACATGCTCTTTTGGCAGCTCCTGTATTCCTCGTGGATGGGCCAAGTGTCGGAAAAACCTCTTCCGACAGAAGGATTAAAAAAAAGCAGCAGTGTAGCCATATCCTGAGAGTGTATAATGGGCGGGGGATAGCAAGTAATGTAGAGGAGGGGGAACAGAAAAGGCAGAGCCTCAAAGAAGGGGTGGGGTCTTGGAGAAGGGATGTGGTAGATCTTGTCTTGTTGTGACATTTAAAAAGTAATCTTGGGTGTCAAAAGGTTGGAGACCTCTGGTGTGGTACAACAGTCAAGCCATTCAAAACATATGGTGTGAATGGCACATATAGGAGAGAATTGGTTTAAAAAAAAGCAATTTTAATTGATTGTTATTTTCGGTTTCTGAGTGGGACAGTGAATTATAAGAAGAACCATGACCTATATCATTAGATTTTTATTCTGAACATTTCATTTAGGAATAATTTTTCTTCTTGCCTGATCCCTACCCAAGTCTTCTTTTGTTTACCTTTATCTGTTGCATTGTGGTGTGTTGCTACTAGTTTGAAAGGCAGATTTTGTGTGTGCACGCAATCACATTTTCCTTTGTGGTGTTTTGTGGATTAGCCAGATATTCTGTAGTCTCTCACCACTCTCCAGAATGATTCACCAAAAAAAAGAACCTCCATTTGTCATTGCAATTCATTGTATTCCAGGCAAATCAGAGCCAACATCCTGTAACATTTATATAGTTATCCATTGTGACTTGTGTCTCGATTTGGCTGTAATTTTGCTTAGAATCACTACATTCCTTAACCTGTAACTAGGTATGAACCACAGGTTTTTTATTACAGTCTGCAAGAGCTCAGGAAGTCTGTTGTATTATTCAATATGTCTGGTACTACCACAAATCTGCTACAGATTTCTTTTAGTGAAGTGCAGCTCTTTCATTTGTCTAAGCTGTTCTGAAATACTGTCCTTTTGCTTCACACAGTTTCATTTCCATTCTTATTTTTGAACATAAAAGGCCTGTGTTCAGATCAGGGTGCAGATTTTCTGGACTACAGCACAGTGTCCAACGTTTGCAGTTATGGCAGCAATAAGAAGGGGAGAATTCTAAGAAGCTTGTTATGCTCTAGGGACATTTTCCTTTTGGATTATTTTAGGTTATTTTTTCCACACGCTTTTTCCTAACAAGGGATTTTTTTCTTAGTGGGTACAGGTTACTCAGATAAGTAGATAGTTGGACATGGCCTTCCCATCCCATGCTTTATGAATATGCATAACCTGAAGATGCTTTGGACAAAATACCTCATATTGACCTGTCAGTTTTAATGTCACAATCGACTGGATCTGTCTATCCTATTTTTTATGTGAAGTCAGAAATACTAAATGTGAATCTGTTTATGGTTCTAAATGTATTAATGGCCATTATGAGTGCTCTGGGAACTTAATGACTTGGTGATCAATTCAGCAACCTGTAAACAACTTTGTCCTATAACTCCAAACAGTGGTTGGTCCTAGAAAGATGTGTGACCACACCACCTGGTACTGGAATCGATTTTGAAACTGCTATTTTTCCATGGAAATGGGCAGGGGATGCCAAAGACAGGCCATCAGTGTTCCCTCTAAGATTTTCCATCCTTGGGTGGTTTGAATTTTCTTTTGGGCAGGTTGAAATTTCTTATGTGCAACACCAATATTGAGGTAGTGTGTGGATGTGCACCCATCAGTAGAAACAAAAACTGTAGATATAAATATATATTTTAAATAGTCCATGGGTGTGGAAGAAAATGATTAAAAACAAAGGATAATTAACAAGGAGCAATATTTATGAATATTTAATATTAAATCAAATAAAAAGAAAATTAACACTTCTCTTGGCTGGAAAAGTGGGTTGTGCCCACGAAAGCTTATAATACTATTTATATTTTTTGTTAGTCTAAGAGGCCACAGGACCAGAACTCAACAAGATAGCAAAGACCTTGCCTTAATGCAATACAATTTACCATGTATTCATAACAGAGGATTTTAAAAAATCATTAAGATCAGAGTTTTAGGTATCTGCAACACTCAAAAAAATTATTAAAATAATCTTTTTCTTTCTTACCTTAAGCTATTAACACAGGGGTGGGCAATAATTTTTGATGGGGGGGGATCACTCCAAGAATTTGGTAAGTGGTGGAGAGCCACACTCTTCCATTATATTAATGGGGGAGATGGGGGAGTCTGGGTTGGAGGTTGGGTGCAGAAGGGAGCTTGGGGTAAGGGATTGGGGTGTGGGATCTGGGAGGGAGTTTGGGTGAAGTAGAGGATTGTGACCTAGGGCAATGGACTGGGATGAGGAGGGGGTACAGAGCTTGGGAGGGGATTGTGACCTGGGGCATTGTTGCAGGAGAGGGTGTAGGGATTTGGGCTGTGACCAGGGATAGCAGACTGAAGTGCAAGGTCTGAGAGGGGGTTGTGACCTGAGGAGGGGTGTAGGAGGGGATGCAGTGTCTGGGAAGGCATATGGGGGCTGGAGCAGGGGTGCAGAAGGTTTGGGTTATATGGGGTTGGGGCAGGGGCTAGGGCACTAGAGACAGGCTCTAGCTGGGAGACCTTACCTAGCCACAAGCCAGCAGCCCAGCAGGTTCCTTAGCCAGGATCCCTGCCTTCCAGCCCTTGTACGTGCTGCAGGAGCCATGTTTATTACTCTAAACTGATTGGTGTGAGCCCAGGGGATGAGGGGCACATCCCATGAGGCCTGTCCTTCAAACAGGCATCTGCTATTGGTTGAAAGTGGCCAATGGAAGCTAAGGAGGGGTAGGGACAGCATGAGAAGCCTGTCTCCCCTCTGTCCAGGCTCTCACCATTCACAAACACACATGTGGGGCAGGGCAGACTGGGAGCTGGCTGAGGCTCTTGCTGCTGGATCGGGCCGGCTGATTATCTTTTCCCCAGACCCGGAGTAGAGGCTGGAGCCAGCTTCTCCATTTGTTGCTTCTGCTCCTCCAAGAGGGTGAGTGCTCTGCCTCCTCTTCCCCAACCAATCAGCTGAACTCTCTGCCTGTGCAGGGAGCTCTGAACCTCTGTGTAGGGCTCAGAGAAGGGCTGTGGGGCCATGCAGCTGTATAGCTTACAGGCAATCTTGCCCACCAGTGTTCCCTCTAAGCAATGCGGCAGCACAACTTCACAGGTGATTAATCAGCCCCACCTAGTCAGAGGCTCAGGACTCGGTGCATGGAACTAACTAACTGGGCAGCACCTGTGAAGCTGCACTGCTGTGCAGCTTACAGGTAACACCGATTCCCACCCTCGGGAAAAGTCTATTTAATAGGAAGCAATCAGTCATTTGTCTTTAGCTGGCTTTTGAAACTGCCTGGCCCACCCTAAGAGGATATAAAAAAAACTTTGGAGGCGTCGATAGACTAAAATCAGAGTAAAAGAACAACTTTGATTTGAAGTTTTATCGAAATAAGAACAACTGAAATAAGAAAACTATTTAGGGTAAGAATTTGCATAGCTAGTTCTAATCCACTAATAAATGTATGGATTAGAATTTAGTGGATTAGAACTAGCTATGCATTTTCTATTTGTTTCAATTTAGTAACTCACTTTGATCTCACTGTTTTCACTTATATCCTACTTTTTATACTTGTTAATAAACAAGAGTTTTTATTAACTTCCATGTATATAATCGTTACCTGGTGGAGCAACCACTATACGTATCTTTCATTGATAGAGGACTAACAGATGAGCTTTCCCTGTGTAAAACTTTTAATGGGATAAGGATAATTTATTTGTGGAGGGTTGGGTCCCATTTGAGAGTTGGTTTCCTGGGTGCTAAGCCCTTAGAACTACGTCCTTCCAGAGCTAAAGTGGTTCAGTATCTGCATTGCTTTGCAGGGGAGGTGGTAACCCCATCTCTGTGCCTTCTCTGGGGGAGGATCTGGCACAGTAGGACAGAGTGGTGAGGAGCCCCAGAGAGCAAGAAGACGGGCACCAAGGATATTATCAGCACACTGGGGAACAATTGCAAGGGTATTTTTGTGATTGCACCCATTACAGCTGGATTGGCTAAAACCTGTAATTGGAATTGAGTGAATACTACATTCAGTTATTTGATGAGACCCATAGTAGTTAAAAGGCTGTATTTGTTATAGCTCTCAGTTTTATAAGTAATCACTGTTTTTATTCCATTTTGTGATATGCTTCCTTTTATGCAGACCAAAACCTTACCTAGGGAATCTTTCTGTTTCTCTGAGAGAGCAGTTGTTTGCTATATATACACAACATGATTTAAGCAGAGCTAACAGATTTGCTAATAATTAGTCCCTGATTCTGTAGTAAAATTCCTTGTTTCTGGTACTAGGCTTGAATGAAGAATTGGTGCAGCTGCTTCTTATTCGAGATGAATTGCACACAGAGCAGGATGCAATGCTGGTAGACATTGAAGACTTGACCAGGTTAGTAATGCTTTGTGTTAAACACTGCTGCTAACAATATTCAAAGTTTCATCTACTTCCTATGTTTTGTAACAGCATTGCAGTAAAATGCTAGGCCTAAAAATTGGGGGTGATGGGTAATCCCTATATTTGTAAGCTATCATAGACCGGCTGAAATGAACGAATCTTCCTTTTGCTAAATGTCATATTGGATCATCAGCATAAGCATTCAACGTATCATAAACACTTAAGTTATCACTTTGATCACCCATTACATATTTTCATTACAATTCATGCCATTTTCTGTTTTATTTAGAAATCTGTTAGAATTCACTGCCAAATTGAGTGTTTTTAGCAATAAAAAAAATCAATTGAATATTATTCTGAATCAATTTGTGAGTAATTGCTGTTACTTAATGTTATGTCATTCACCAAATGAAGGTTCCTCATCTGTGAACCTAATTCCTGTCTAAAATCAAGCCACGGTTTTCTCTAAAAGCACTCTCAGTAAGATGAGTGGAACTTCAGAAATTATTAATGCTAGGAAATTAGAAATCTGGGTTAATTTTGGGGAATAGCAACAGGCTAAAGCCTGGCAATCTGTCTTCCTCAGAACAGAAGTGACTTTTAACCTCTTAGATATCAGTGATGTTATCTGACTCAACTTTCTTCTGTATGAGTCCTTTCCTCTCTGTTGCTTCGTTCTTTCTTTAGCAGGTTCACTCACTCTTATGCATGGCTGACTCCCTCAGGGTGGCTTGTGGGGAAGTCACTGGCTGCTCCGACGCCAACACGCCCCCTTTGGGTGAGGTGTTCTCTTCAGATCACTGCTCTCCGGCAGTGACCACTCCAATCTTGGTCTGTGCTCCCTTCGGGGGGGGGACAGAGGGGAGAATCATTGCTCTTCCATCATTCCTCCTCCAGGGTCCTCCCTACTCCCCAGGACCACTCTTCTCCCACTCTGCCTGCCCAGTTGCCTCCTGCAACCCTGCCTTGTGGACTTATGGCCTGGGGCTTCCCTGGCTCAAACTCCCCCAGCCTACTGCAGCTGCCTCCTTGCAGCCTGGCCTTTTAGGGCTGCCTCCATGCGAGCCCCGCCCTCCATGACTGCCTCCTTGCAGCCCTGGACCTCAGACCGGGTAGCCTGGGTTTGCTAGGCCGAAGCCTCTCCCATTGCAGGTGGGCAGGCTGATTTCATCTCTCTCTCCTCCTACCATGAGCTCCTTTATATGGCCTCCAGCTGGACCCTCATTAGCTGCCTCAGCTGGGCTTGCCTCCTTCACTCAAGCTCCCAGCCCCTTTAAGGGCCAGTGCAGGGCAACACCCTGCCATGCCACAGTTCTTTCTTTCCCTTATAACCCCTCTGCTGCCAACCTCTGTCCTCCATGCTTTCCCTCAGTGTTCGCTGTTTCTTATTCCCTTTTTCATATTAACCCACCCCTTCTGCCTTCTTCTCCCAACTCAGTCTTCATAATGTATATTTTTAAGAACAACCTGGAGTTAGCATATTTGATAAATTATCCCCAGTCGCTTTACACAGTTGCTATCTTCCTCTCCTACCTCAGCCTTTATCCTTTTTTGTTAGTTTTGTAACCCTGCAGAATAATGAATGTCTTCCTAGACTTTCAGCTTTAACTGCAGACACAGATAAGACAAATGACACACAGCCACAAGGCTTTTTTACTTGTGATATCTTTTTTATAGAGTGGTCTCAATCAGTGTTACAATATTTTAAGGCTATTTCTGCAACAACAGCACAATCATTCAACCACAGGCAAAACTAAATATTTTAGCAACTTTCTGCTGAGAAGTATCCACTAACTGTCCAATTCCATATCTCTAGAGACCAGTATTCAATATTTTGCCTTATCAAGGTCTGTCATTTCTGAAAAGTGGCAAATAGATGCTAATTTAGACTAAATCTGCTTTGGTGCTGCCAGAATGTTTTAATTCCAACACATAATAAAAATAAAAAAAAATCCCCCCCTAGCATTTGTCTGGTGCTGACTAGATGACTAGACTTTGTAACTAGAAGGATTACAAGGAGATATAACAGTAACATTAAGCAGTGGGTTGAGAGAAAACACACCAGAATATGGGCATCAAGTCCTCTTCATCGTCCCTGACATGATTTAAGTGATATTTTTAACTGTTTTAATATTTTGGCAGTTAATCTATCAGATTTTAAAGATTTCTGCATTAAACAGATTAAAAAGATTATGTATTATTTCCAATGCTTATTGGTCACTGCTAGTATTTTCAGCACTGCAGCATTAAACTATCTGTGTAAAATTGTATGGGATGTCAAAAACATTTTTAATACAGTTTTAAAAATCTTCCTGAATAAACATTTTTAAACCAAGTCTATTTTTCATATATTTTCAGAATTTCATTTGGATGATATGGAAAAGGGAGGGGTGAGAAATGGTCTGAAATGTTTGATTTTTTTTAACGCCTTTCTGTTGCATTATATTTAGTTGAAATACAGTTTGCCACTACCTGGATAAAGTTTTGTCAAATGATATGGCAACTAGAGTGTAATGAAGGCAAATACCATCATTCAAAATACTTTATATGCTATCTATGGTTTCTTTTAGATATTGCAGTCCTAGCTCACCTCTGTTCCAGTCACAAGAGAATATTGAAGTAAAGCCTCCTCATTTAGAAATCTTGCACAGGCGCAATTACTATATGGTAATTAATAGAGTAACAGTAAAACTGAGGAGGATTTGAGGTTAGGAGTGGAGCTATATAATTAGAAGTCTCCTTTTGGGTGTACACAAGTTAGAGATACCAAGTGCATTGTAACAGAATTTTATGCAAAATAACTGTTACGTGCCAGAGAATCTCTCATTTAAGTCCAATTTCTCTGCCCGGCCTTGATCTGTTATATACTCCCATCTTTGGGGGCTGAAGGATTTGTACAGAAATCGACTCTTGCTGCTGCATGCTGTCTCACAGGGACTTCATTCAGAGCAGGGTTCTGGGCTGTGTAGTTTGTGTGTCTCACCTGCACATCTTCACATCCATCCAAGTTTCCTCCCAGTAAGCAGAAGCACACCTGCCTAGATAAACTTACAGGAAAGAGGATTGTAGGCACATCTCCCCATCATTATCAAACACACAGTCTTCTGAGAAGTAGTATGCCACAACATGACCCTGGCTGATGGTATTGCACAACCGAACAGCACCAGGGTTCTGGTGGCCCAGCTTAGGCTCTGGAATGAGGCATGCAACCCCATAATGGAGGCAACAACACCTTAACAACTTTGAAAAGCAGTGCTGAAAGTCTCTGGCTTGTCCACAATGAAGGCAGTGTCATCAGTATAATCTTGATCAGTGAACTCTTTTTGACCAACATTGATTGTGACATTCCTAATTTCCATTAGATAGCTCAGTAGAAGGGTGCCATCACTACTGCATGTCTGAGGTTATTTAGAAATCCAGTGAAAGCAGTTGGCCACATGCACACTTGTGCTAGTACTAGTGTGAAGATTGTGCACCCTATTTAGCAGAATTCTGAGATGCCAAGACCCTTTTGTTTAAAGTGAAGTGTTGATCTGTCAGCTGAATCAAAAGCTGCTTTGAAGAAGATATATGCCACATGAAGTCAACTGTTAAATTCTCTGTACAGCTCATCCAGAAGCCAGAGAGTAACAGCAGCGTGTGTTGTCAACCTCTCAGTAATGAAATCTGATTGTCCATAGCAATGGTGTCCATTAAGAAGCAGCTGTATCCTACCAAGCAGATCATGAATGCAGACCATTCCAGGGATTGAAAACAATGAGATCAACCTGTAATTCCCTCCCTCAGTGTGAAATACTTTATTCCTAGTACCATGATGGTGTGTTTCCATTCTACTGCTACTCTGCCTGACTCCCGCACTTTTAATAACATATGCAGGCCAATATTCATTGATTCCAAGTAGGGATGTTAAATATTGGGTATTTGAATAGTCGAATAACTTCATGAATTCTTAGTGGTTACTCAACTATTCTATAGTATCCAGGTTTGGGGCCGACAGCCAGTATGCTCTGGCCCCACTCCTGAGGAGCCCCTTGCATAGGGTGTCAGGCAGGCTTAAAAAACAGCTCCCCTCACAGCTGGGCTGCCTGTTGCTCCTTCCTGCTGCCTCTGACATAGAGGCAGCAGTGTGGGGTGGCAGCAGCCCCAGTCCGGGAGCAGGTCTGAGCTCCTGGACCTGGCATGAGCAAGAACTGAGCCAGGTTGCCTGCCCACCTGGCTCCTAATACACTTTAAATGCAGAGCCGCAGCAGGGGTTGGTCCCAGACCCATCGTAAGCCAGGGCTGAGCCAGGCTGCTGGCCAGCCTGATAAAAAATTAACTGGTGGGGGGTGAGGGGGAATGCATGTAGACTATACCATTAACCTATAAGCTTTTGCTTATCATTTAATCGACTACACTATTACATCCCTAGTTCCAAGATATCTTTGAGCTGCTTGGGTGGAATGGCAGCATGTGCCAAAACTTTTGAATGGCCTTTTGTATTTCCTAGAACCTTGATCCTCCATGTGTCTGCTGTTGAATGGTTTGTCAGGTAACACAGGGGGGTACTTCAGGAATATGAATTAGCACAATAATTTACACTGCTTACTATTATTAAATACCTGGCAGTGGTGTTTGTTCTATTTCTTTTTCTTTTGCTTCCAAAAACATTTCAGCATTCTGAAAGCATTTTGCATCAATCTAAATAATTTCATTTACTAAACATTTGTAGATTTCTTTGACATCCTCTATTGCAGTGTATTTCATTTTTACACTTTGTAATATTAACTCTCTACAGTCACATCATCAAACGTCAACCCTAATTCCTGGTTAATGTCAACTTGTCACAACATCTAATTTTTTTTAAACTGACAAATTTAATTTCCTTTGATGGGAAAATTTTGCAGAATGTGATATGATCCCAGAGAGTTTCCTTGAGTTTAAGAAGTATTTCTTTCCTCTGAACACATACTGTACAATAATTAATCAGACCAAGTTCAGGAAAGACATGTTAACTAAGATAATCTGAACAGAGTAATTGTTTGCTTGATATTTTCTTCATTGGGAAGCCTTATTAAAGTTGAAGTATGGTTTAAGATATTGAATAGTCCATTTAATTTTTCTTAGTAGTAATATAGTTTTTCCCCCTTCCCCAGACATGCTGAAAGTCAGCAGAAGCACATGGCAGAGAAAATGCCAGCAAAATAAAGCAAGAAGCCATCAGACTACAGAATAAACTAGCATTTATTTTGTTTCTATGGATGTACATATGCTGATGTTCAAGGTGGCGCACAAGAAAATGAGTGTTAGTCATTGATCATGTCTGAAGCTTTATGTCCAGTGATTGGCCTCTGCTCCTTAATTTATTTTAATTTTTTACTTGTGCCACTAAATATCAGGCATTGTAATAATATTATTACAAAAATGTACAGTACTTATGACATTACAAACCATGGATAAGAAGAAAAGGTAATTTACCTTCATTTTTGTTTGTTTAGAGATTTTAAGTTCAACAGTATTTTACCATTGACTATTTTTTATTCTTCACTGTAGTTTTAAACAAAGAAACTGTAATTAACGGTGCTATACAAGTAAAAAAAAAGAGGAAGTTTTAAACAAAGAAACTGTAATTAACGGTGCTATAAAAGTAAAAAAAAGAGGAAAAAAAACAAAAAAAATGCCTGCCTCGTAGTGAAATTGTAGCGTTCAGTAATCTGTATATTTTAATCAGTTTTCAACATTTTGTGAATGTTGACTACCTGACATTCAGTTTTAGATGTGCTATTAACATTCAGTTGGATTCAGAGAGTTACCTTGAAAATTTTATGTATAAATATGTAAAATAAAATTTAAAATGTTTCATACGTCTTTTTGTTGACTAGTGGTTGACTTAGGTGTTGCACCAGTAATATATTCATCCTACTAAATGTGCAATTCCTAATTTCTCATTACCAGAAAGAGCCTTTTTTGCATATTGCATTTTACAAAAAAAAAAAAAAGAGAGAGAGAGAGAGAGAAAATGGAGACAGGATCAGATTTTTGTAGATCTATTTATTTGTAAGTTCATAAAGTATATGTAACATGGACTTAGGATATTCTTATATATAGTATTCACTAAGAA